AAGCGGTGGGCGCCCAGCGCGGCCCCCGCGTACTGCAATCAATCGCGCGCGCTGGGCCGATGCTTGGCGGCGGTGCCGCCCGGGCTTCGAGAAAAAAGGGGCGGCGCCTTGCCAAGGGCACCTCCCTGAACTGGAGGGATCCGGTTGTACATGAATCTCTTGTAGCACAGTAGTTGGGACTCGTTGACGTTCTATTGGGAGGGCCGCCCTTCCCTCTCCTACCGGCGGAGGACCGGAGGTACCGCTATACCGGGCCTACGGCTCTTATATCCGGAGGCTATATCTCCTCCCGTGCTTGTGTGAGGTGTGTGATACTCACCCACACAAAAGTAAAGCATGGATTGCGTGGTGAGCTGTCGCGAGATCCGGGGAGATCTGGGGAGATTGCGGCAGGATAGATTGCGTGGTGACCTACCGCGCCCCGTCGGCATCGCCGCATCCGAGCGACGCATGGGTTCTAGTTGACTACCCCCGCGCAAGTGTCTACCCACTCCCACCTCCCCTCTCCGCTCTTTGTGTGAGGGGGGGGGGGGGGGGGGGCTCCGACGCGTCCTCGAGGCCAATGGACGGCGCCAATGGAGGATCGCCCCGTCGCACAGTCATTTGAGACACGTTTCCCCGCGCCAGGTGCCGACACCGCAGTCGCTCCGCTTGCTGCATGTCCTGCGCAACGTGTCTGCGAGTCCGGCCGAGCTGCGGTTGCTGCCGCGCGCGGGTCACTTCTTCGAGCCCGAACCGTCTTTGGTGCGTGTGATGCGGCGTTTCATCGAGCGGTGAACTCGCTAGGGCGTGGGTCTGCTCACCATCTGGGCCAGCCCCGTCCAGCATGGGGCGTCCACTGCTGTGATAGTGAACAAGACCCATGGCCATGCACACTGGACTACGGCTTTAGCATGCACACGTGAGAGACGTGTGATAGATAAAAACGCGCACAGTGCACACCTACTCTCACGAGTACACATACAAGACTTACAGACATCAGAACCGATAGTGCAGGAGCAGGTGTGTCCGGGTGTGCACTTACGACTTAGCCGTTAGCGTAGGCCGTAGCGGCGACCGGCGTAGCGTAGCTTTAGAGCCGTACCGCAGAACAAGGCGTCGTACAAGTTCAAAGCTGGAATGGTGGAAAAGGAATTTCCACAACAAAAGGAAAGAAGATCTCTCTCTCTCAACAAATGAAAAAAGAAAATACCCTGCAGCACCGGCTACCGCAATCCGCACTCACCACTCTCTTTCTTTCTCGGAGAAAGAATAGAGACACCTGGAAACCAAGTTGGTTTCGAAAACCGGATACGCGTTGCCCGACGGTCGCGGGTCGGCGTTTAGGGTCGGCTGCGTGGGGGGACGAGTGATGGCAACTACGCGTAATTGTCCGACAGTGCAACGTCCCCAGTTGACGGAGCACCGACCGCGGGAGAATTGTAACAACTTTCTGGCCATATCATGCGTCGGCCTTCTCCGTGTCAGCCTGCCCGCGCCAGCCAGCTCACGAGCACGGGCGTGTCGGCAGCTGCTGGAGGGGAGCGCCAGCGCACGCCGCAGAGATCGGCGGGGCCGGGTGCGCCCTTATCCATACAAGCGGATCCCGTCTCGCCACCCTCTGCCGGGAAGCAACGCAGCAGCGCCACATGGTCATGGGGGTCGGGTGCGCGACTGGTGCGTCCGGTCTCGAGCCCGGGCAGCGGGACCTCCTCGCCGCTGCCGTCCCCCGAGCGCGCCAACGCCGGGCTGCGATCACCCCTGCCAGCCATTGGCACGGCGTCCTCTCCGCAACTCCTGTCGGAGCAGCTGGCTCGGCAGCCGTCGCCTCGGGCTGGCGCAGCAATGGGCGCCATCACCCCTCCCAGCGGCAGCAGCAAACACCTGCCGCGTCACTCTCCGACGCCAAGCGCCCCAGACGACGGCGCCGTGGAGGGAGCGCAGGCGGACGCGCGGCTCCTCACGTGCGAAACGGGTGCGCCGCCTGCTTCCGAGACAGTTCCAAGAAAGTCATGAGAACTCTAGGAGACCCTCTAAGAGGATTTGAGACCAATCATAGACCTTGCTCGCCTTCACTTACGTAGGAGCCGACTCGGAGGAAGATAACCTCGAGACGCTGCCGGAGCGGTCCGCCCGGGAGGTGCGCGCCTAGAAGGAAATGCAACCAAAAACGTCCCCTTTTTAAGCCCCCCCCCCCCCCCCTCTTCGCACAGGCCGGCGAGCTAGGTCTATCGGTCCTTGGAATCAGCATGGTCCGCTGCCCCGCCCTACGCACCTAGCCGCCACCAGCATCGCCACAACCAGCAAGGGGAGCTACTCAATGCCTCCATCTCAATGCCTCCAAGAGAGAGAACGACGAGAGTGGGACGACCGCGAGGTGGCATGAAGGTAGAAGCTTGCAGCGAGAGAATCGGCGAGGGCCTGCGAAGAGAGATAGGTAGGAAGAAAGAAAGAGGCTGCAGACGCCCAAGGGGGAGGGGGGGAGAGTGTCGTCCCAAGGGTGGGCGACGGCTAGCAACACACCTGAGAGGGCGGCCCCTCCCCGAACCTCGCCCTCGGGAGAGTTAGAGTCGTCGGCCAGGGAGGCCGGGCTCCCGCTGGGCATCTTCGGGTGGATCTCAGGTAGATCCGGCAGACACCCTGAGCTCGCGACGCCCTTCACGACTGGGAGGGCCAGGGAGCGCACGTGCTTCGCTCGCAGGGGGCACCGTGGAGGGTGCGCCTGCGCCACGGAGGCACTCCGGGCGGCGTATGCAATGTGGGGGGAGGGTCAGGGTGATGCTGCCTCGGCGCGCGCCGCCGCGACGCGGCACGGAGTCGACTGGGCCACGCCGGCGAGGGAGGGAGATGCGCTCCAGTGAGGGTCGCGTTCTTGAGACCGCCGACGCGTTCCTGGACGACAAGGCCGATCGACTCTGGAGGACACGGTCGGCGGCGCTTCACGAACTGGCACAGAAGGTTCGAGACGGCACGGATCTTGTGCTCCTATGCGCGGGAAGGATTGAGTCCTGTCACTCGAGGAGCTGCGAGCGGAGCGTGAGGGCTGTGGGTGGACGCTGGACGGGTGATGAGCCGTAAAATCGTACGAGGTCATATATGACCGGAGGTTAAGTTATGACCGACGCGTGTATTCACAGCCTTGTTATGTTCACATGTGCACCCATCGTTCAGTACATTCCAAAGCGCGCGGGGCAACCGGCGGGCGTGTGTGGGCTCGGTTTCGCCCACTACATCCGCTCAGCTTCGCCCCGTTGGCTCATGAGCGACGAGGGGATCCGACGGCGTGCGCGCGAGCTTGTCGAGGAGCGCCAGGCAGCCGTCATGGCGCAAGCGCACGCCAAGAAGCGTGCTCATGATGCGTGCGTGTTCCAGCACACGCTCAGCGGTGCGACCCGCAGTCTTGCCCACCAGAGAGGTCCCGAGGAGGGCCGAGGTCGAAGGTTCGCCCACCGTAGGATGGGTCCACAAGCGCAGCTCGGGCGGGTTCAAGTCGTGGAAGAGGCGGTGGTGCTCCATCAAAGACGGTCAGCGCCGCACCCCACCCCTCGCTGCCAGTCCGCGAAACCACCGCCTCCCTCCCGCTGGCTCCACCTTCGCATACAGCCACACACAGGAAGGCCAACGCCTATCCTGATCCCACCCCGGTCTACGGTGCGTCCATCACAGGCGTGCTTTCGTACTGGGCGACGCCCGCCGACGAGGAGAAGGGCAAGCCAGCCAAGAAGGAGATGGTGGTACGGGGCGCGGTGGTGACGCCGCCGGAGGAGGTGCGGGAGGGAGGCAAATTTCACGCGCGGGCGTTCCAGATCGACCTAGGTGTGCGCTGGCCCGGCGGCGGCGAGTGCAGTGAGCCGAGGACCCACCGCCACTAACAATGACCAATGCGCTTTGGCGCAGATCCAAGGCACGCTGGGCAGAGCAAAGCGGCGGCGCGCAGCCGCCTCCTCCTCGCCCTGGAACAGCCGAGGAAGCTCGAGGCGTGGATTGAGGCGGTGAATTTCTGGTCCTCCTACCGCGGCGACCCCGAGTTACAGGCGCCCCTGGCCCCCCCCCTATCTAGCTTCTTCTCAAGAGACATTCACACAGGACTCCCGCCTCCCTACCCCTTAGTACAACGGCGTCAGCGGCGAGGAGCTTCAGCAGCTCCATGCCTCCATGCTCGCCAAGGCAGCCACAGAGAAGGGCGCTGCACCCCCGCCGGAGGCTTACCTCGCACACGCGGGTGCGGCGGAGCGGTCCGAGGGTGCCGCCACGGTGACGGCATTCTCAGGCACGGCGTCGGAGGTCTCCGAGAGCCTGATGCTGCCCGCGCGCGACGCAACTTCGCCGCAGGCGGCGGAGGATTTGTCGAGCCTGGAAGCCGCAGCGGCGGAGGCGGCAGCAGGGGCCCCTGGAGGCGAGGCCAAGGAGCGTGAGGCTGGGGGGGGTGGCGCGGAAGCTCTAGAGCCTGACGCCGGCAGCGATGGGCAGGACGCAGCGGCCATTGTCGGCAGCGCAACGGAGGGGCAGCATGCTCCTGAGCAGTATGCGAAGCCGCAGGTGGTGTCTCGACCCAAATCTGCTGGCCGGAGCCTCGAGTCGGACGCAGTGGAGGCTGCACAGGTCGAGGGGTCCAAGGTTCCACAGCCTCGCCCCCTCGAGCCGGCCCCGCCGCCCCGGCCAATAGAGGTGCAGGCGGGGAAGGTGCCGGCGGTGGCCGATTCGCGTCAGGTCGCGCAGAGGATTGACAGCAGCCGCTGCGTTTCTCCAGAATGGCAGGCTTGGGAGGCGGAGGCCGCGGCACAGTTGGCGACAATAGAGCGGCAGCTGGAGCCGCTGCGGGCGAAAGCGAAGGTGCACGCGAGGGAGGCGTGGGTGCGCCGCGTGTAGCCTTCTTACGCGTATGGATACGAAACAGGTGTACGCGGAGGAGGCGTGGGAGCGCGCGGTCGACTCCTCGCGGCGCAGCTCATCGGCGACCGTAGTTGCGCTTGACGCCGCAAGAAGGACGTTGCCTCTTTTCACAAGGGTCTGGCTGTGGACAGGCCCTCTCATCGCGGCGAAGCAGCGAAACGGGGCCGTCGCGGAGGAGCTCACTCAGGTAGGTGCATGTAGCC